TTGAGTCAAGGTTTTGGATATGTATTACTTCAAGTTGCACTTTAAATTGTACTTAATAAATCAAAAGTGTTAGGCCTACCTCTTTGAATATCGTTTGTCATACAAGAATTAAGTTAATTAGGACCATGCTTCTTTTTTTCGTGAATTTATGAAAACATTAAAACTCTGCAATAACACATATTTGGATATATTGTGGCCTGTTTTCTCCATCAGGAGAAGACCAAAGTTCCTTGGAGTTGAGGAGAGAATGGGAAACATGGTGGGGAGGAGAAGACTAGGCACATTCTTTGTATTCTCCAGTCCAGCCTTCCAGACAGGGCCAATAAAATGATATCTGTTATGAAATTGGCAAGTTCCTGGAGTCACTTTACCTCTCCATGAAGTTCTAGCTAGCCACAGGTCCCAGGGTTATCCCCATTGATATTTAGGCCAAAGAATGTAGTTAGGACCAGATGGCACAATCTGTAGCCAAGATTAGAATGGGTTGGGATCTGTAGCTGGACCCCAGGAGTTCTCAGTTTGCTAAATGCGGAAGATTGCCTAGATCATTTTATGAATCTTGTGGTAGAGTGACTCTGCATATTACAGAATTAGTTTTGGGCCCCACTGAATACATTCAGGCAGGATTTTATTGTGTGTGTCAGGTTTACAAGTAGTTGACGTCATCATACAGTATGTTTATTTCTATAAAAATACTCAGTATAAAAAAGCCACCAACACAAAGGCATACCACTTCACACCCAGTAGAATAGCTGTAATCGAAAAGACAGATGTAACAAGTGCTGGTGGGGATGTGAAGAAATTAGAACCCTCCCATTGCTGATAGGAATGTGAAATGACACAGCTACTGTGGCACAGTTCGATAGTTCCTCAACAAGTTGAATAGAGTCACCAGATGACCCAGCAGTTCCACTCCTACTTATTTATCCAAGAGAAATGAAAACATGCATCCAAACAAAAACTTGAGTGTGAATGTTTATAGCAGCATTTTTTATATTAGCCTCAAAGTGTAAACAGCCTGTAGGGGAGGCAAAAGTTGACCTCCACCATCTTAAGATCTCCAGCTGGGCCTTAAGGTCACCTCAGCCTCCCAAAGCATTGAGATTACAGGCGGAAGCCACCGTGACTGGCCAGCATGTTTTAAGTGATTTTTATCTTACTTCATCTGACGTAGATTAACAGGAGAAAAATGTGCAGATTTATTTCATATAAGATTTATGTCACATAGGAGCCAAAGAACTGGCAAAACCTGAGTGATTTTATGCTAGGTTGAAGAAAGAAAGGCGGCTGTGGAAAAGTAACTAAAATCCACTGGAAGGCTAAAGGAAGATGAAAGTTATTTTAACAAGGTCTGTTTGTACAGAATTCTCTTGGCCTTGACTCCCTGTCACTAGTCATAAGAATGTTTCTTTCCTCCTGGTTTCAGGAGACCATCTTTCCCATGGGAGTTTTATCTCTGGCTTTCAGGTAGAAAGGGGAGGTCAGAGCACTCTTGAACCTGCTGAGTTCAAATTGCCTTTAGCTCAAAATAATCCTTATGCCAAAGAGGCATATTTTGGGGTAGCATTTTCTGCCACCCTTCAAGCCCAAATGTCTATCAACTGATGAATAAATAAAATGTGGTATATCCATGCAGCAGAATGTATTTTTCAGCCATAAAATGGGATAAAGTATTGATGCATGCTACAACATGGATGAACCTTGAAGTCATTATGCCAAATGAAAGAAGTCAATCATAAAAGACCACATATTGCATATTGTATGATTCCATGTATATTAAATGTTCAAGATAGGTAATTCATAGAGACCAAAGTTAGGTTGGTGGTTACTAGGAGCATAGAGGAAGGGGTGCGGGGAAGGAGGAGTGACTGCTGATGGGTAGCAGGTTTCTTTTTGGAGTGATGGAAATGTTCTGGTGATGGTGGAACATCTTGGTCAATACACTAAAAGCCACTATTTTATACCACCATACTTTGAAAAATAATTTTAAAATAGAGAAACTGCTAGTTTTGGAGAGAGAGAATATATTTCTACTTTTGAAACACTGGGAGTTCTCAAATTTCTTAAGCCTGCTGTGAAGAAAAGACTACTCTGAAATTTGGGTTCTTTAGCGCGCACGCGCGTGTGTGTGTGTGTGTGTGTGTGTGTGTGTGTTTGTAGAGATGTGGTCTTGCCACTATGCCTGGCCTAACAAATTGTTTTTGAAATAAGATAAAATCACTTAAAATATGCGGGCCAGGTATGTGGGTCACACCTGTAATCCCAGCACTTTGGGAGGCTGAGAGAGGAGAATCACTTGAGCTCAGGAGATGGTGACCAGCCTGGGCAACATAGACCCCCATTTCTACAAAAAAAATTTAAAATAATAATTAGCCAAGTGTGGTGGTCCACACCTATAGTACTAGCTACTCAGAAGGCTGAGGTGGAAAGATTGCTTGAGCCCAGGATTTCAAGATTACAGTGAGCTATGATCATGCCTGCACACCAGCCTAGGTGACAGAGTGAGAAGAGGCCAGGCACAGTGGCTCACGCCTGTAATCTCAGCACTTTAAGAGGCTGAGGTGGGAGGATCACTTGAGCCCAGCATTTTGAAACCAGTCTGGGCCACATAGTGAGACATCGTCTCTAAAAATATATATATATTTTTAATTAGCTGGGCTTGATGACACACCCCTGTAGTCCCAGCTACTAGGGAGGCTGAGGTGGGAGGATCACTTGAGCCCAGGAGGTCAAGGCTGCAGTGAACTGTGATCACACCACTGCACTTCAGCCTAGGCGAGAGAGTAAGATTGTTCTTTAAAAAAAAAACTGTTCAAGAATTTATTTTTTTTAATTCTCTATTCAACTAGGAAAAACTCATTGTATCCAACGAACAAGAAGTTTTGCGAGTTCATTACAGAGCTGCAAGAACATTGGCAAATCAAACACTGCCATTTAGTGCTTGTACTGTTTTGCTGGATGCCGAAGTATACAATGTACCATTGGACTCTCAGGTAAAATGTTTGTTGATACATTTAGAAGGAATGCTCTGAAAAAAATGCAACTTGGCTGTTTTTAGAATCTATTTCCATGGAAAGAACTTGAATTCAACAATCATTAAGGTCAAAGAAGAAAAACTCTTTCAAGCCAGAGTACTTCCAGATCAACTGGTCCTCCATTTTCTAAAGCACTGTAAACATTAGGTTTCTATTATAAAAGCAGATGATCACAAAACACCTGTACGTTTAGGATAGTGCCCTTATAGGTACACGTAATTTGTTTCTAAAGTGAGTGTTTATACCTTTAGTTCTGACCTTCAGGCAGCTAGAAAGCTATTGTACACTGAAAATAGTGCAGCTAGATGGTACTTCTAGGTTGTGACAGTCCTAAAAACAGCGAATCTTCTGGTTTAACTTTGAATGTTGGTGGAATACATAAATGGTGGAAGACTGGAGAAATACCTTCAATAAAGTTTACTGCTACATATAAATTACATGAACTCAGAACCAGTCATACTAGTTTTCAGAATTTTTTTATGGCTCATAAACCAGAAAAGAAAGAATTTAATGATTAAAATTTTTATAATAAACAGTGAAGGATTATCACCTGAAAACAGACTAGGAAATGCTGTGTTAAGGAAATAAGCTAGTAATACAAGGGATAATAAGGTATATCACAGAAAAATATTTTTAGACTCTTCTGAGCTTTATTTTTCTCATCTATGAAAAAATCAAGATTGAACTAGATAGGTAGGTTTCAAACTTAAGGCACCGGATGGGCGTGGTGTCTCATGCCTGTAATCCCAGCACTTTGGGAGGCCAAAGTGGGCAATCACTTGAGCTCAGGAGTTCAAGACCAGCCTGGGAAACATGGTGAAACCCCGTCTGTACAAAAAGATACAAAAATTAACCGGGTGTGGTGGGGCACAGCTGTAGTCCCAGCTACCAAGGAGGCTGAGGTAGGAGGATCTGTTGAGCCTGGGAGGTCAAGGCTGCAGTGAGCTGGATTGCACCACTGCAGTCGAGCCTGGGCAACAGAGTAAGACCCTGTCTCAAAAAAAAAACAAAAACAAAAAGAAAAAAAACTTTAAGGCATCAACTTTTATTTCAAATGAAAGTGTTCAGAGATATCTGAGGACGCTATTAACGTGAATAATTGAATCTCTTCAGAAAGAACTGTGTGTTAAAGAAATAGGCACTGGAGAGCCCACTGAGGGACTTTCTATAACTTTCATATTTAAAGATGTTTAAAGGGAAGAATGGATGGTTTTTAATAACTGCAATTAACAGTTTAACCATGTTCTTATAGGCTGGACTAAACAGTGGTATCTTGAGGTCTTTTCAAGTTTTGAGCAGGCATAGAGTAATGAAATGAATTTTAGAGCAATATAAATTGAGCTTTATAATTAAGCTACAATGAAAAGTCTCTTGAAGATTTCTAGCTCAGAATGGTTGAGTAAACATACATACCTCTTGTTTTCTTCTTTCTCCCAAAACTCATTGAAATGACAAAAGACACAAAAATTTAAAAGCCTGGCATGGTGGCACATGCCGGTGGCCCCAGCTACCCCCAGTGGCTAAGATAGGAGGATGGATTAAGCCAAGGAGTTGGAGCCTGCAGTGAGGTGTGATTGCGCCGCTGCATTCCAGCCTGGGTGACAGAGCGACACCCTGTTTCTTAAAAATAAAGTAATTAATTAAATTCGTTAAAAATAAAAACAAATTCATAGCAGACCTGGAAATTGAGGTGGGAAACTTAACTGTTAGACAAAAACATTAAGGAATTTCTGATAAGATTTAAAATAGATGAAAACATATTGGTAATCAAATACAGCAGAGTTGAGGAATGCCCAGTATCATATAGATTAAAAAGAGAATTTTTTAAAAAATGCGTTTTCCTAGAACAGTATAAATTTTCAGCTATGAAGGGATTTTGAGAATTTGAGTAATTCGTTTTACCCTGCCCCAGATTTTCTTAGTGATCCAGACCACCTGACTTTAGATTAAATTAAGCTTGCCGAGATCCTTTTGTGGATCATAAGCCTGATGATTGGGTTTTCACACTGTGTGTGACAGGCCTCTCTCAAACCTGTTGCATCGTGCACACATTACCTGTCTGACATGGGGTAAGAAATTTAGCTTGATGAGATACCAAAATGTGAAGTGTATTCTCTTGACAGAGAGAAACTTAGGCTAAAAACATTTCTGCATTTTTGGTGACTTACTTAAATATGGAGCTGTTATCTACCCTTTTACAGCTGGCTTTAGAGTAGAAGGTCTCAGGTAGCATGCGTATTTCCTATGGGAATAGCCTTGGAAGGAACTAAAGGGAAAAAAGTCTACTTTTCTTTGGGTAGGGGCTTGGATCATCCATTAGTCTACTCTCTTACCTTTTCTTCCTTTTCAAAATAAACTTGTTTGAGCACCTGAAATGTGGTAAAGAAAAATAAATAAATAAACTTGTAATATTTAAAAGAGCCAACAATATACATTTTAAATAGTCAAAACATCTAACTTGGAGACCAAGGAAGAAATTATAACGACTAAAAATGTGAGTAGTGGCCAGGCACAGTGGCTTACACCTGTAATCCCAGCACTTTGGGAGGCCGAGGTGGGCAGATCAGAAGGTCAGGAGTTCGAGACCAGCCTGGCCAATATGGCGAAACCACGTCTCTACTAAAAATACAAAAATTAGCCAGGTGTGGTGGCAGATGCCTGTAATCCCAGCTACCTGGGAGGCTGAGGCAGGAGAATCGCCTGAACCTGGGAGGTGGAGTCAGGATCACGCCATTGCACTCCAGCCTGGGTACAGAGCAAGACTCTGTCTCAAAAAAAAAAAAAAAAAAAAAAAAATTGTGAGCGTGGGGCTACCTGCTGCCTGGAAGTGACTGACAGCGCTAGTAGTGGTAGTAATAGAGGGAGTGAGTGCCGCATTGAGTGCTTCCTGTGTACCTAAGCATTATGATGAGGGCTTTATAGACACTTCTCATTCCCAAAACAAGCTGGAGAGAGGTACTGTTACTACATTTTACAGAGTAGAAGAATCAAACTGTATAATTAGTTCAAGATTACATAATAAGATACAGAGCTAAAATTTGAATATAGTGTGTTAATTCCAAAACTGGTATTCTTAAGTGTTGATAAAGAATTTCTTCATAAGCACCCCAGATATTGGTCCTGGAAGAAATTTTGGCCTCAAAGGCAGCTCTCTCCCAACTGGATACTTTTTGTCCCTACAGATAGTAAACTATAACATTAAAATTAAATCTGTAATTGATTATACAGTAATAATGTCACAGGCACAGTACTTAATGTAACATGCCTTTTTGTGAAACGTCTTTAACTTAGAGCAATAGGAATCTATTTTAGTTAATAATTAAACTACCATCCCAAGAATTCTAATAGCCAATCTGTCTACACAATGTGGAAATAAAAGCTTTACCAAACTTCAACAGTATTCAATTTATATATTTTTCAAAATATATTTTCATCATTACTAAGAAAGGGGCATATCCCATAAAAATACTATAATGGCATATAGATTTTAAAGTAGTTTATTGTATTTTATAATATTCAACTTTTCTCTTTTAGTCTGATGACAGTAAAACTTCTGTGAGGGATCGCTTTAATGCAAGACAATTCATGTCTTGGTTACAAGATGTGGATGATAAATTTGACAAATTAAAGGTATGTATGTTTAGAAGTCAGTTTGAATGAATGTTTCCCCCTTCTTAAAAAAAAAAGCTCTACAGCTGTATTAGGAAGAAATAATTAGGAGGGGAAATACCGGTTAGTCATGAATCCTCACACTGGGTCACAACTGGAAAGATAAAGACCACAAGTCCATTTTAAGGACTAGCTGTAGTATGAGAGAGGAAATTACCACAGAAGATTCAGTTTCCAGTGTGGGTCTTCATGCTTATTATCCAGTGTACCTGTCTAGTTATAGTTTGAACATATAAAAGAATAGGAGAATGGTAACAAAAGGAATATTATTTTCAAATCTATAAATTATTTTATTTGAGATTTTGAATCATTTCAGAAGTCTTTTCCCCCTAGATTTTCATGTTTCTTTTGATAACTTGAAATCTCATAATTTGAAATATTAATTTCAAATTAAAATCTCTAACAGCAGTCCCAACCTTTTTAGCAACAGGGACCAGTTTGGTGGAAGACAATTTTTCCATGGATTGGGCTGGGAGGATTGTTTGGGGATGCAACTTGCACCTCAGATCATCAGGCATTAGATTCTCATAAGGAGCACGCAACCTAGAACCCTCGCATGTGCAGTTCACAGTAGGGTTTGAGCTACTATGAGAATCTGATGCCGCTCCCAATCTAACAGGAGGCTGAGCTCAGGTGGTAATGCTTGCTCGCTGCCACTCACCTCCTGCAGTGTGGCCCAGTTCCTAACAGGCCATGGATTGGTACCAGTTCATGGCCTGGGGGTTGGGGACCCCTGCTGTATAAGATGAAAATGAAGTTGCAGACCCACAAATAGTTGGTATGTGTGTACAAACAGGATGAAACAGAAATGGACTTGTAGCCCGGGTGTGGCGGTTCGCACTTGTAATCCCAGCACTTTGGAAGGCCCACGTGGGCAGATCACCTGAGGTCAGGAGTTCAAAACCAGCCCGGCCAACGTGGTGAAACCCCATCTTTAACAAAAACAAAAGTGAGCTGGGAATAGTGGCACATGCCTATAGTCTCATCTACTTGAGAGGCTGAAGCAGGAGAATCGCTGGAACCCAGGAGGCGGAGGTTGCAGTGAGCCCAAGAGCTCACCACTGCACTCCAGCCTGGGAGATAGTGAGACTCTGTCTCAAAAAAAAAAAAAAAGAAAGAAATGGACTTGTAATTCAAATGCTTTTTATGCTCCTGATGTGTCCATCTTAGTCCCTAAAGAAACTGGATGAGATTAATTTTTAAACAAAGCAAAGTTAACAGAATAATCAAGTAACTCTTCTCTTCTTTTAAATAGACCTGTCTTTTAATGAGGCAACAACATGAAGCTGCGGCTTTAAATGCTGTCCAGAGATTAGAATGGCAGCTCAAACTCCAGGAACTTGATCCTGCCACCTATAAATCTATCAGCATTTATGAAATCCAGGAGTTTTATGTTCCCCTTGTTGATGTTAACGACGACTTTGAATTGACTCCTATATAGCAGTCAGTACTTCCTGATGATCTTGTGCTAAACTGGTGATGCTCAGGCATTATACTGTGGAATACTGCCTTTTGACAAAAATACTCATGCCTTTACAATTGTTAGTAAAGTTCGATTATAGTTGGTTATGTAGTAAACACTGTCATTTTATAAAAAATGAGAATTATTTTGGATCTTAGATCCAAACACAGTTTCTAATAGAAAACTATTATTTATATTGGGAAAGGTAACTATTGCATTAGAGCATGTTGGCAGACTGGTAGATATTTAAAAAGTTGAGAATCTGCTAACAGCGCTGGAAGTTGTTAGCACTCTGAGTAATAACCACTAGTATTCAAATCTCTTTCAGGTTTTATTTAAAAAAATATCAATAAACTAAAAGGTTCAGTTCCTACCAAATAATTTCTAATGTGGGAGAAAAACTTGGCACAAAATTTCTTCAGTTTATTATCTGTAAATTAATTGTACAGTTTTCTTTTTGAAAGTTTTAATATTGTCTTCCTTTTTAATAACTTATTTTATACATATTGTGCAGATGTAAATCTTGTAATTAATGGTCAAACTGTATACAAAGGGATTGGTAGTCAAAACATGTACAAAGAAATACCTGTAAAACTGTTTTGTCTCCTGTTTTATTGGACCAAAGTTGTGGTTTGTATGGAGTGTAGTAGTAGTGTGTACAGGTAGAAAACTTTTAAATACGGCATGCGTGTGTTTCAGTTAGCTTGTTTTCATCACCATAACTGCAAAGATGTGGCTTAGTTGTATTGCATGCTTCCTATAATTTAACTCTTCATAATTGGTGCCTGCAATAGTGTGAGGCGTTTCATACTAGTCTCCTCTAGTAGACCTGTGACTTACTGTGTTGGACATATTATTTAGACTTAGTCATACAAAGAAACTTAGCTCTTTTTTCATCTCACAGTAGAGCCTGTTTCCCCAGGAAAAAAATAAATGCCTTTGAATGAAAATTCTGAAATTGTAAATGTCTATTTTAATATTCAACTATGAAAGAATCTGTGAATATATGTAAATATGTTTAATAAATTTTATTGGTCATGTTAAATCATTGTAAAACTTTTTTACATTGCTTAATGTTTTAAGCTTAATAGCCTTTGCACTTTTAAAATAAAAACCAAGTATGCAAATCAAAAGAAGATATTTGGTAGTCAAAATAAGTAAAAGAAATATAGGAATATTCCAGTCAGTCTCTGAAATGTTTATGAAAAACAGGTTAATATGTTCTATTTTTTTCCTTGTATCAAGATGCAAAACATAATTTGCAAAATTTTATAATTGAAATAAAACTTGGTATGCTGTTTTATAATAAATTAGCAATATACTTAGAAAAAAATCCAGTTTCTCCTATAACATGATGTAAATTAAATATTCAGGAATATTTCAGGTCTGAAATCTGCTGCTGAACTTGTTAGACATTTTTGAAAGGAAATTAGGTTAGTGTACAATTTATCATAAGTATATGAGGTAAAATTTGCAAAATCTTCCACAGTACTTTCTTGAACTATAATACTGAATGTTTTCAGTTCCAATAGAGAAAAGTGAAGCAAATATGTGAGGAATGAAGTGATCTAGTGGAAGTTGGAAATTCCAGCTAATGGGAGAGAATGTAAATGTTTTTGAGTGCAAAGGTACATATTAAGCTTAGGGATTTTTGAATTTTTACGTCAATTTATATTTTAATTCTTACTGTACTTGGCATGCGCAATAATGCAGCACATGTAAAAAAAACAAATACACAGTGCAAGGACTTTATTATAAAGGTTGGATGTAGTTTTATTTAGAAATTTAGATGAGAGATTTTGGCCTTTTTTATTGCATAAATTGGGCCAGAAAGGCAGGGTAGATTTCGAAGCACTGGTTCTGTTGAAGTTAAGTTTATTAAGCCTGGGAACATTAAAAAGCTAATTTATAAAAGCAATACTTTTTAATATGAA